CAACCAGTGTGTCCAGTACCTATACTCTCCTCCAACCAGTGTGTTCAGTACCCATAGTCTCCTCCAACCAGTGTGTCCAGTACCTATAATCTCCTCCAACCAGTTTGTCTGGTACCTATAATCTCCTCAAACCAGTGTGTCCAATACCTATAGTCTCCTCCAACCAGTGTGTCCAGTACCTATAATCTCCTCCAACCAGTTTGTCCAGTATCTATTATCCTTTTAAACCAGTGTGTCCAGTACCTATAATCTCCTCCAACCAGTTTGTCCGGTACCTATAATCTCCTCAAACCAGTTTGTCCGGTACCTATAATCTCCTCAAACCAGTTTGTCCGGTACCTATAATCTCCTCCAACCAGTTTGTCCAGTATCTATTATCCTTTTAAACCAGTGTGTCCAGTACCTATAATCTCCTCCAACCAGTTTGTCCAGTACCTATAATCTCCTCCAACCAGTTTGTCCAGTACCTATAGTCTCCTCCAACCAGTGTGTCCAGTACCTATAGTCTCCTCCAACCAGTGTGTTCAGTACCTATAATCTCCTCCAACCAGTTTGTCCAGTACCCATAGTCTCCTCCAACCAGTGTGTCCAGTACCTATACTCTCCTCCAACCAGTGTGTTCAGTACCCATAGTCTCCTCCAACCAGTGTGTCCAGTACCTATAATCTCCTCCAACCAGTTTGTCTGGTACCTATAATCTCCTCAAACCAGTGTGTCCAATACCTATAGTCTCCTCCAACCAGTGTGTCCAGTACCTATAGTCTCCTCCTACCAGTTTGTCCGGTACCTATAATCTCCTCCAACCAGTGTGTCCAGTACCTATAATCTCCTCCAACCAGTTTGTCCAGTACCTATAATCTCCTCCAACCAGTTTGTCCGGTACCTATAATCTCCTCCAACCAGTGTGTCCAGTACCTATAATCTCCTCCAACCAGTTTGTTCAGTATCTATAATCTCCTCCAACCAGTTTGTCCAGTACCTATAATCTCCTCCAACCAGTGTGTCCAGTACCTATAATCTTCTCCAAACAGTTTGTTCAGTATCTATAATCTCCTCCAACCAGTTTATCCGGTACCTATAATCTCCTCCAACCAGTTTGTCCAGTATCTATTATCCTTTTAAACCAGAGTGTCCAGTACCTATAATCTCATCCAACCAGTTTGTCCAGTACCCATAATCTCCTCCAGCCAGTGTGTCCAGTACCTATATTCTCCTCCTACCAGTCTGTCGAGTACCTATACACTCCTCCAACCAGTTTGTCCAGTACCCATAATCTCCTCCAACCAGTTTTCCCAATAGCCATAGTCTCCTCCAACCAGTGTGTCCAGTACCTATACTCTCCTCCAACCAGTGTGTTCAGTACCCATAGTCTCCTCCAACCAGTGTGTCCAGTACCTATAATGTCCTCCAACCAGTTTGTCTGGTACCTATAATCTCCTCAAACCAGTGTGTCCAGTACCTATAGTCTCCTCCAACCAGTGTGTCAAGTACCTATAATCTCCTCCAACCAGTGTGTCCAGTACCTATAATCCTTTTAAACCAGTGTGTCCAGTACCTATATTCTCCTCCTACCAGTCTGTCGAGCACCTATACACTCCTCCAACCAGTTTGTCCAGTACCCATAGTCTCCTCCAACCAGTGTGTCCAGTACCTATAACCTCATCCAACCATCGTGTCCGGTACTTATAACCTCATCCAACCAAAGGGTCTGGTCCTTATATCTCCTCCAACCATTGTGTCAGGTACTTATATCTCATCCAACCATAGTGTCTGGTACTTATCTCCTTCAACCATTGTGTCTGGTACTTATATCTTCTCTAGCCATAGTGTCCGGTACTTATATCCTCATCCAACCACTGTGTCTGGTACTTATATCTTCTCTAGCCATAGTGTCCGGTACTTATAACCTCATCCAACCAAAGGGTCTG